GCCCCACCTTCTCAGTAGATATAGCCGCATATATTTGCATAGCCACACCCACCCGCCACCCACCTCCATTTCACCAAAGCCTATTTGCATAGCCACGCCCAGCGCAAAATCCGGCCCATGCCTCTCAAGCGATGCCTATTTGCATAGCCACGCCCACCGGTAAAAAAGCCCCATGCACCTCAAGCTATGCCTATTTGCATAGCTACTCCCATTGGATAGAGCACCCCTGCCTTCAGCATTCCTACCTCGCGGTGTCAATTTGCATAGCCACGCCCGCGCGAAGATCAGCCCCGCCCTCACCGTGCATCCTCCGCGATGCCTATTTGCATAGCCACGCCCAGCGCAAAGCCCCCATACCCCTCAAGCGATGACTATTTGCACAGCCACGTCCATTGGATCGAGGACCCCGTCTTCAGCATTCCTACTCCGCGGTGTCGATTTGCATAACCACGCCCCGCGCGCAGATCAGCCCCTCCCTCCCCGTGCCTCCTCCGCGCCGCCTATTTGCCCCCCTCGAGAATGACGCCATCCCGCTAGCCCCTCCCACCCCGAGAGCAGGCGGGACCCAGCGCTCAGTCACCGTTTTTATTGAAACGTCACCAAAAAAAGGGGAAAGGGGGGGGGAAGGGCGGCACCCCCACCCCCCAATGGGGTGCTGTGGGGCAGGGGAGGGGGGGGCACTTGTGGGGTGAGGACAGACACCCGTGGGGGCTGTGGGGCAGGGGGAGGCACCTGTGGGGCAGGGAGAAGCACCTGTGGGGCAGGGACAGGCACCCAGTGGGGCTGTGGGGCAGGGACAGGCACCTGTGGGGCTGGGACAGGCTCCCATGGGGGCTGTGGGGCAGGGACGGGCACGTGTGGGGTGAGGACAGGCACCCACAGGGGCTATGGGGCAGGAAGGTCCCCCTCTGGGATCTATGGGGTGAGGACGGACACCCATGGGAGGTGTGGGGCAGGGACAGGCACCCAGTGGGGCTGTGGGGCAGGGGGAGGCACCTGTGGGGCAGAACAGGCACCCAGTGGAGTGAGGACATGCACCCAGTGGGGCTGTGGGGCAGGGGGGAGGCACCCAGTGGGGCAGGACGGGCACCTGTGGGGTGAGGACGGGCACCCAGTGGGGCTGTGGGGCAGGGGGAGGCACCTGTGGGGCTGGGACAGGCACCCAGTGGGGCTGTGGGGCAGGGACGGGCACGTGTGGGGCATAAACTGGTACCCCCTGGGAGCTATGGGGCGAGGACAAGCACCCACAGGAGTTGTGGGGCAGGAACTGGCACCCACTGGGGCTGTGGGGTGAGGACGGGCACCCACAGGAGCTATGGGGCAGGAAGGCCCCCCTTCCTGGGATCTATGGGGTGAGGACGGACACCCATGGGAGCTGTGGGGCAGGGGGAGGCACCTGTGGGGTGAGGACGGGCACCCAGTGGGGCTGTGGGAGGCACCTATGGGGTGAGGATGGGCACCCACAGGGCAGGGACAGGCACCCACAGGGGTTATGGGGCAGGAAGGTCCCCCCCTGGGATCTATGGGGTGAGGACAGACACCCATGGGAGCTGTGGGGCAGGGGGAGGCACCTATGGGGCAGGGACAGGCACCCACAGTGGTGAGGACAAGCACCCATAGGGGCTATGGGGCAGGAAGTAGCACCCCCTGGGAGCTATGGGGCAGGAAGAGGGCACCCATGGGTCAAGTGTGGGGCACCCAGTGGGGCTGTGGGGCAGGGGGAGGCACCTGTGGGGCAGGAGGAGGCACCCATGGGCGTTATGGGGCAGGAATTGGAATCCCCCAGTGAGGTTGTGGGGCAGGGACAGGCACCCACAGGGGCTATAGGGCAGGAAGGTCCCTCCATGGGATCTATGGGGTGAGGACGGGCACCATGGGGGAGGCTGTGGGGCAGGGATGGGCACCCACATGAGCTGTGGGGCAGGAGGAGGCACCTATGGGGCAGGGATGGGCACCCACAGGGACTATGGGGCAGGAATTGGAGTCCCCCAGTGAGGTTGTGGGGCAGGGACAGGCACCCACAGGGGCTATGGGGCAGGAAGGACCCCCCTCCCGGGATCTATGGGGTGAGGACGGGCACCATGGGGGGGAATGTGGGGCAGGGGGAGGCACCCATGGGAGCTGTGGGGCAGGGGGAGGCACCTATGGGGCAGGGACGAGCACCCCCAGGGACTATGGGGTGGGGGAAAACATGCACCCATAGGGGCTATGGGGCAAGAACTGGCACTCTTTGGGAGCTATGGGGCAGGAAAAGGGGGCAGAGCCGGGCACCCCACATCCAGCAGGCGCCGAGGCCCCCCCCCCACCCCACGGCCCCGCCGTGGGGAGAAGCTGCCGTGGGGCTCAGCGACCGGTTCTCCCTAGAGAGCTGGGGGGGCGAGAAAAGAGAGAGTTGTGGGGAGACCGGAGTGAATAAATTAAGGCCAAAACCGGCAAAATTGGGGCAAAAAAAGGGCCCCCCACCTGGCGCGGCGCTGCTGGGGGGCGTCCGTCCGTCCGTGGGGCGGGGGGGGCTCCGTGTGTCCTTCCGCCGTCTCCCTCCGCAACAAAAAAGGCCGGAGGCTGCCCCGAACCGGGGACCCCCCGGCTCGTCCCGGGGGGGTCAAATTAAAAGGCCAAGGAGGCTCCACCTCTTCCCGGAGAACTGGAAAGGGATTGGTTGAAAGTTAGAGAAGCCCCGCCCCTTTTTTTTGGGGGGGGGGCACAACCCCCCA